AGGGTAAGGGAGATAGCTGGCAAATTTGGACTAGGAACCCGCAACGAATGTGGAGAAAAATGGGTCCAATTGTGCACGGCCAATGACGAGGTAACAATCAGTACTTGGTTCCAAGAATATCCAAGACTATTATGGGCATGGAGAAGCCCAGGAAGAAAAACTAAAAATCAAATTGACTACGTAACAATCAACAAAAGATTCAGGAATATAGTTCTTTACATAACCTATTTAAATGCCGAGTGCGTAAGCGACCACCTCCCTGTTATATGTAAACTAAGGGATGGGAACCTCGAGGCGGTGTAATGGTTAGCAAGCTTTTCTTGCTAGAACAGTTACGACTGAGTAGTGAGTTCGATCCTCACTGTGTGCTCACTACATTCGGCTTTGTGCCCCATCTAAGCTACGCTTGGAAAATCACTATATGTAAACAGGGTGAAACTACGGAAAATGAAGAAGCCTAACGAAGCTGCCATATTGCAATACAACAAATTCCTGAACGACTCGAACCTGAAAGAAAAATATATGGATAATGTGACAAGAAGATATGAAGGACACAATGGAAATGAAAACTCGAAATGGCACACACTAAAAGAAGCTTTAGTGACATCAGCAAACGACAGAATCCCAAAGAAGAATGGACGAAGAAGAAATGAAAAAAAAACGAATGGATCACTGATGAGATTCTCGACATGATGCAAACGAGACAGAAAACAAGGCCAACACATTGAAAGGAATACAGAAAACTACACAATGAAATAAGGAACAAATGCAAGCAGGCTAAAGAAGAATGGCTCAACGAAAGATGTGAAGAAATAAAGAGAATGAGTATCACAGATAAAGGAGATATGCATAAAAATAAAGGAACATGCTCATCAACAGGCTGCATAAAATCCAAGAACGCTCATATTAGAGAAAGAAAAAAATTCTTCAGTGCTGGTGAATAGAGGGAATGAAAGATAAGGGAAAGCAACGCGTGACATACCTAGCGGCTTAAGCAAGAACAGGATCTGGGAGAAATAAGAAAAAGACAAAACTTATTAAGAGCTACAAAGGAGTGGAGGGGGTGGAGGGCTATGGCAGATAAAAGAAGAATCTCACTGAAATAATGAGTGTGCCGTCTGTAAAGATGATTCCCTCAGTAACTGGGATAGAATTGTTGATGAGTTCTTGTCACGTCCGAAGGCGGTCGTATTATTTCTTTATAAGCACGGGTGCAAAATACGACACAAGGCTTTTCTTGATGTTTTCAATTGCCTAAAAGAATATTTCCTTGATATTTGCTTCAGTCATCAAATTACGACACAATTTACGATACAAGTTCCGGCACAATGAGAACAGTTATAAAATACAGAACAAAGTTGAAAACGGCAGCTCACAAGACAGTATGAAAGATTTCCCGTTACCTCTGCCAAATAAAATATCATTTTTCTGCATATTTTCGAAACACATTTTTCTCTTTTTACTGAGCAACAGTTCTCTACATAGTGCTGAATTTTACATAGGATCTGCTTACAGAACCATTCTTTCACGCTAGCCATCCCTCTCTCTCTCTCTCTCTCTCTCTCTCTCTCTCTCTCATCTATTATTTTCCCCTCGTTCCAAGGAAAACTTTCCCATTTCTATTTATAAATATTTAAATGATATTTCGACATTTCCCGTCTCGTAGCTACACATCGAATTGTGGTTCTTCAGGTCTAAATGTTTGGAATCGGTTCTAAAACTTCGTCGTAAAAGCAGAAAATGAATAGTAATACCTTATTAGTGAACCTAAGAATACGCCGACTATGACTTGCTGACGGGTAAGCCCTTTTCTAAAGCAGCCACTTCCGGTTGAATGCTTGCAGACTCGGATATAAAGTTGACCAAAATCTACCTTTTTGAAGTTTGGTGCAAACTAGAACCATGTCTGCCTCTTTGATTCTAATGCAACAAGAATCTATATCAATATTTTCGAGTCGAGCAAACCAGAATACATCTGCTTTTCTTTCTAAAACAAAAATCTACATGTTCCTTTTTGACTCGTGTAGACCAGACCTACGTCTGCTTTTCTGACTCAGTTCTGGGTATGACGATAAACTACACCTGGCAGCAAGACATCTGATAGCGAGATTGGTGCTTTTCAGGAGTGTGGAATCACCTCTCTTAATTTCTGTTGTTCCCATGTCTACCCTGACCCGGGATGGTAGCACCTGTTAGCTATAGGTAAATAGTGAACATCCAGACAAAAACATAACACTATGAAAGTATAACAAAACATATTTATAGCAAAATGACCAACAATACATTTTATCTGTAGCTGAAGGCATACAACCGCGTTCAAAATATATTTAGTTGAAGCCATAAAATTATTTTTAAAATATTTAGATTTCGACTTTAAATAACCCATCGAAACCAAACTTTTCTGACTAGTAAACAAGGATCTATATCTACACTTTCGACTCGGGTAAACAATGCTTATATCTATCTTTTTGACTAAAGTGCAAGAAGGACTGATATATACCTTTTTTACACGTGCAACACAGACCTATTTTAAGCCTTTTGACTCTCGTGAAAAAAAATATATATCTACCATTTTACTCTAGAGCTAACTAAACCAATGACTAATTTTTTATTCTTGTGTAAACTGGTTTTATACCTAGCTATCTATTAAATTTTATAGTTTTGTTGTCCTATATTATTTAATATTAATTAATAATTCAGCAAGTATTTTTATGTCTTTAAATTAACCAACCTAAACTAAAATAGTAATCCAAATATAATTAGACGCTACTACTGCGTGGACAAGTATGACAATTAATGGAGTGCAGTTTTCCTCATCGCTCATTCAAACACTCTCTACAAAGTATGCTAGCAATGAGATATTTTTCCAGTTATTTGACAATGGCACAGAATTCAGGGTGAAATGGATTCATGCCTGATCTAAAGAGAGTGAAAGTGAATGCAAATAGCCACAATTGAAGTTAGAAATATGTTCACCGGTTTTGTTATTCGAACCGATAATTGTTACTCCATCTTGTACCTTTGAATACATTGTTTTAGCATTCAGCTTATTAGCATGACAAGGCCCAGATTAGACCAAAAATTAGGCATATTTTAAATCTGAAGCGAGGCTCACTTTTTTTAACGCAACTTTATTGAACATGAAACTCATAAAATAATGACAATAACTCAAAATTTAGAATATTAGACAACATTTCAGAATAAAACATAACAAATGATTTATTTATTCTCTTGGCAAAATAATCAATCGACTATTTTTGCGTATTATATCTCCAGAATTTAAAGCTAATATAAAACATAATAGTATAAAGTTAATATTATGAAAGGTAAGAATACAAAAGATTCTATCGCAAAAGGCAATGGTGTAACTATTGGTTAGTATTTGTTTTTTGTTTTTTCTATTGTTTACGGGGACTGTTTTCTCAAGCTTGATATATGAGAGTTTAGAAATGAATGACTCAATTTAGTAACTTTAAGTGCTGCTTTTCTCATTACTTATATCTTATTTATTTCGTAGTAAGCTGTACAAATTAAAATTTATTACCCAGGGAGAATATCATTTATACACAAACTTGCATAACAAAACCGACATTAGATAGATAGATAGATAGATAGATAGATAGATAGATAGATAGATAGATAGATAGATAGATAGATATGAACAAACTTTAATTGGCAGCTGTGAATAGAATGAGATAGATAGATAGATAGATAGATAGATAGATAGATAGATAGATAGATAGATATGTATGTATGTATGTGGTGGACTCTGACGTCAATTTTGACGTATGATGTTTCAACAATTTAGTTTTCTAATTCAGCCTTGAGACTACCAAGACATTATTTGAAGAAGGCGTGTATAAAAGCAGCCTCACTTTTCGGAAAAAGCAATAACAAAGACATGGTTTCAAGAAATTCTGGAAATATCTCTCCTTAGGTTTGAACTCAGATTTTACTTCTTCTCGACTGTTTACCAGCCCAGGCTAGGAAGCTCAGACTGCTTTCTTATTTAACCTATAGGTGTGGAATGTGTATGTGCATAGGTAAATTCATTAGCACTGAGGATCGAGATGACTTATTGTAGCAGCACTATATCCCGGGGTGATATGACAGCTATTCGGTTTGATGATGTTAACTAGCTGCACATGACCTACTTATCTTAAGTGAAAAAATAAGTTGTTACCCCTATTCCATCAGAGAATAATACACTCGGGCTCCCCCCACTGAAAGGTGTCATCTCAGACAGCGTTTATAAAGAAAAATACTTGGGGTGCTGAAAAATAGACACTGTGTTTAAATAAACCAAAAAGTGTTGATAAGCTGCCAAAAAAGAAACCAAACAATAAAGCAATCATTTTTTTTCCTTAAAACTTCCTCGCTGTTTACATGTTCCATTCATGTTATTCCCAGCATTTAATATGTCGTGCCATCTCAGAATTTGGACGATCAAGGCTCCCCACAACTTCCTATCCTTCATAGCTCTAAGTAATATTTTTGATGAATTAGAAGCCATTGTTAAAGTGAAAGATAAATAACACGATCAGAATTAATAAAGTTTGCAATTAAAAGAAAAAAACGGCCAAACAATCATTCAAGCAAGCAAACAATATAATTAAAGCAAATCAAAACTGATAAAAAGACAAAACGATTCACAAACTATGAGTTGGTGTTTGTACACAAAAGCAAGGTCGACCAAGCAAATACAATATGTCTGTCTAGTAGTTAAGGCAGATCTGGACTAAGTCATGTCAAAACGCAAGCTGTCTTATTTTATTGGCTAATAAAAATACCCCAGCATCCATTCTATATCCTTCTGGCTATTAGAGGAAGAACACTTTGGCAATCATTCCCATTGAAAATCAACAATTTTCCCTTGATTATACTTCTAAGTCATTCTTCTGCCTTCTATTTGCACAAGCTCATTTGGTAGGTTATATCTGACCCTCTTGCCTTCAGTATGTCGTGTGAGTGTCAAAATTTCTAAGCCCTCTTTCCTAATTATGTTTCCTATAAATATCAACGGTTTCTTTCTGGTTATAAATATAAGCGTAAATTTTATTTCCACTTTCCTTAAAACTATGTTCCGTCCGAGGTTTTCACAGCATCTTTCTGTAGAAACACCGCTCTCGTGCTTCAAGTTTCCCCACAACTGTGGTCAACATTCCGTCTATGGTGTTCTCAGCATCCTTCTGTAGAAACACATCTTTCTTGCCTCAAGTTTACCCACAACTGTGATCAACGTTCCGTCTATGGTGTTCTCAGCATCCTTCTGTAGAAACACTTCCCAGAGAGTTACATTTGTGTACATGCTTGATTTTGATGACTGCAATTTCTAACTCACCTCTTTGGCTGTTCCTTTTGCTTACAACCATATAAGCGTTCACTGGATATCCCTTGTCTCTCGGCATTTTTTATTTTGTTCGCTGAGTTTTGTCTATCAGCCACAATTAGGCTATCAATGGGATCAGCATTTTTTTTAACTGAAATGGTTGAAGACCTCCCAGATCATGCTGCAACCTGACTCTCAAAATTTCTATCCTGTAATTTGTCACCATTTCTGTCAGAGTCGAATACGACGCGGAATTGTAATTCTATTTTGAATAATACACTGATGACATTTTTTTTTTTTTAGATTTTTCTTCCGTAGGAACAGGAACACACTGACAACCTAGTGTTCAAAAACTTTTTTTTGACATTGCTCAATCTAAAATATAATTGCAAAATACGCACAAATATCTTGCGAACATCGAATTTCATTGACAAAATAACATTAAGAATTGGATTGGGCCGAGAACTTTTCAACACTCCTCGTAATAAGACCGTTTTACCCGGGAATCGCCAGGTATCCTTACAAATATCTAGTTATGAAAACTGTCTATAAATTTACATATAAGCATTTCTTTAGATTTATGAATAGACATATGCATATAGATATTCACTAAGTTCTGTTTAGCCCAGCACAGAAATGCGACTGTAACTTGCTATAGAAGTAATGGCATGCAAGTATCACTTCTCCAAGGTGAACATATATACATACCAATATTACTATAGTGTGAGTTCGAGCCCCACAAAAGAATACATATATATATATATATATATATATATATATATATATATATGAACCTCTAATTTATGAGATACTTACAACTAGTGGCGCGTGTTAGTGTCACTGTGTCCACTTGGGTGACCCAGCAGACGGGGGGAGACGTCACATAAATCATAAAAGTGGGTTGTGTTTGGCGGAAGATTTGTTGCTTCAGGGCGGTGAGTGGTACGCCGGAGCGAAAAGAAAACGTGGAAAAATTACTACGCGGCATTGGAGCTGTCCGCGCTTAAGTGGTCAAATTGATGCATTAGATGTAATACATTGGCGATAATAAGCAACTGATCAATATAAACTGAGAATACAGACTTCTCATATTGCAAGCCCGAGTGGGCTACCAATTATGACGTCTTATATGCGCCAAGCAAAACCGTGGTGAGTCGATGGCTATTCATTTGGGCTCTGAACAAAGGTAAATAAATAAATAAAAAAATAGAAACTAAAGAGAAATTGTCGGATGTATTTTGTAGTTTTGTTTTAAGCGAGGAATATTTTCCTTGATATTGTACTTTTATCATTTAATTAGTTTTATATATATATATATATATATATATATATATATATATATATATATATATATATATATATATATAAATGATTATTGATTGTTGACGTATTTATTAATATGTTGATTTTTATAATCATACGTATTGCCTTATTATTTTGCAGTGGTCATTACTGCTACCGTTCGTCCAGGGTATGAGGATAAACAACATCCGGCAACAAGGCCTCAGATCGGGAGATTCTGAGGATCGTGGAACCACCTCTTAATTGCTGTTCAACCTTACCTGAGATGGAAGCATCTGTTAGGACCCCAGCTATGGGTAAATAGTTAATCCCAAAACTGGAGTTAAAACACTATGAAAGTATAAATATTTTTATAGTAAAAATTCTAGCAATATATTTTTCTGAAAAAAAAATGCCAGCAATACATTAAAAAAATACCAATAATACATTTTTGTAAAATAAATTACTAATTTTCCCAAGAAAATTAAATTTCGGCATTCAATGACTGATAAGGAGTTGATATGCCACTGAAAATACAAACTGCTACAATTAATAAAAGTAATGGGGTTTGAAGCAAGTATCCATATATATTTATTTAGCTTCAACTTTGGGGATATGGAATAAAATTAAGCTGTTTTGATTTAAAAAAAAACTCCACATTATTCGATTTCACAAAATGTTTTTTGCATATAATATATATATATATATATATATACACACATATATATATATATACACACACATATATATATATATATATATATATATATATATATATATATATATATATATATATATATTGTGTATTTAGGTATTTAGGCATCAATGCTTCATTAAGGAAGACAAACAATTCTGGAAACGGAGTGTAGAAACTTTCACTTTTCATTAATGTTTATATTGTTTTAAAAAAATTTTTAGAATTAGAATAAAGCCTAAACATATAATCAAAGTCAATTTATACATTTTTTTGTTCTTGAGAATTTACACCAAATATATTAAACGCTATTTTTTATTAGATTCTTTACCCACAAAATTAATCTTAAATTTCTAACATTCTAAACACTAATACAATAAGAACTAAGACAATGCAATATTTATCATTTACTAATTTATAAAGAAATAAATGTGAAAACATTTTTTTATTAATAATTTATAAATATTTAAGAAATTAATAAGATATGTGAACCAACTGTAAGGAGTTCCTTATTTACTATTTCATAAAGTTTGAATCATTTGGCAATGAACCGATGTTTTGCTAACCATACCAATAAATAATAAATAAATAATACTTATAATGTAACCTAAGTCTTTCACTCTCACACCAAACATCCCCCAATCAACATACAAACATGACCAGCCAGAAACAAAAATTGCCGCTAGACGCACACACACACACACACACGTTATCACCCAAATTCCTCAAAGACCAACTAGAAATATGATATAAAAACACACAGACGCGCCAACATATCACTAACATCTTCAGGAATTATACACACGGACACTACCAGACCGAAACAAAAATGGCCACTAGAATCCAAGCGTGTACACACACACACACACACACACACACACACACACACACACACACACACACACACACACACACACATTAATACCATAATACAAGCGATAACACAGAACTCTAATTGCCGGGACTGTCTCTTTCATAATTCATTTCACAAATTTTCTTTTGCAGCTTAAATATAAGCGAAACATGTTAATTTATAAACGTTTTCTATTTGTTTATTATCCAATTATTCTATCTGATTTGATATTCTATCACAATTCATATATATATATATATATATATATATATATATATATTAAGACATTTTTATTTTATACATTCTTTTTTTATAAATACAAATATTTAATTAAATGCTCTGTTTATAATAAACAGTATTAAACAACATTACCGGCCTGAATGTCCGAGAAATTTTCATAAACAGAGCATTTACTTAAACATTTGTATATATAAAAGAATGTATAAACATAAAATGTCTTAAAATAATTATAAGACTTTGTCCATTTCATTATATATATATATATATATATATATATATATATATATATATATATATATATATATATATATATATAATATTAATATTTCAACACGTCAAGGCTCGCTATCTCCAAAATGTTCTTGGAAGGCATCACTCAATGAAAACGATGCTTGATAAAGTGTGTGGCTTCAGAGGGAGACTACTTCAAAGGAGATTGAATGCGGAATTGATAAGTGTAGTAGTTTATTTCCATCTACTGGCCTGAATATTCGAAAAATCTTATTGGAAATATATGCGCTTTCCAGCAGTATTCAAACCCGGGTTCCCCTAGGGTAGGCATTGCCCGCGGGTAATTACGGCCCACGGTCAAATTTTATATAGCCACCACCACTTACGGCCCGCTAATATTGTCAATCAGAGTATGTAAAGTACACACTTAAGAATTGCAATTTTATGTTTTACTAAAAGATGGAAGCAACACTGTGTGACCGACCTCTAGCGGTGTGACTTTAAGTTTGACCTTTTCCCGCCAATTTCTTAAATCACTGCCTTTTGAGCCAGACCTAGTCTACATATTGCAGTCCAGATCTCAGTATCACTCTTCACATTAGTGCAGGTAATTTATTCATTTTGGTCATCTGAGATGTATAAATTCTAAAATCTTCGTTTATTAAATTTGTGTTGTTCAAAATCAGTTAAAATATATATAATTGGACACTTGGATTTGTGTCACTGTGTGTTTTCTACTTCTTAAGATGAATGTTGGTGTTATGTTCCTATTCATATGTTTTTAACTTAAAAATTGACAAACAACATTAATTACCAATATGTAATGTTTAAGATTAATCTGAGATTTTTTATAGTTTCCTGAAAGTTCTATTTTCTCAGATATATTTTTCTTCATCTTTTATGGGCTTCTGATATGACAGGCTGATTGATTTTGGAAAGAATTGTTTAAATTTATTTGTCATCCATGAGAAGAAATGAAAATATGCCATTTGCAATAAAATTTTCATAATTCCTTTGCATTCAGTTTTAATTGTTCAAAGAATGTTTGGTCCTCACACACATTCCCCTAATCAAGTCTGGCCCACTTTGAAAAAGGTTTGGATACCCCTGTCTTAGGGAAATTGTCATTAGATTTGACGTGCTTTGACACCTCGGCCACGAAGAAACTCCTGGCTAAGCAAAGCCTGAATAGTGCTTTTGAACACAAACTTTTCCTGATTCTCAAAATAAACATTTCTGCTCAATTTCGTAACTTAATGTAAACAAGGACATTTTCTAGGAATTAACTTTTCATTTATTAATCCGACATAATTTATTGCGTAAACATTATTTTAATGGATAATATTTGAGTAGATGCTCTGTTTTTATTTATTTATTAAACAGTATCTTTATTTATTTACATATACCGGCCGGAATATTCGAGAAATCTTGTTTAGAAAAATATGCACTCTGCGGCAAGATTCGAAACCACGTTCTCCTAGAAAGTAGGATTTCCTGCATCGAGCAAAGCCCGAATAGGGATTTTGTAAATAAATGAAAAGAAAATAGAAAGTACCAACAAAATGAATTACTAAAGAAAGAAAGAAAGAAAGAAGTGTGGAATGAAACAAGGAAAAGAAAATAACGAATCGAAAGAAATAAATAAGAGCGGAGATGAGAAAGAAAGAAAGAAAGAAAGAAAGAAAGAAAGAAAGAAAGAAAGAAAGAAAGAAGTGTGGAATGAAACAAGGAAAAGAAAATGACGAATCGAAAGAAAGAAAGAAAGAAGAGCGGAGATAAGAAAGAAAGAATGAATGAATGAAATGTGGAATGAAAGAAGGAAAAGAAAAGAGAGAGACGAAAGAAGGAAATAAGAGCGGAGATAAGAAAGAAAGAAAGAAAGAAAGAAGTGTGGAATGAAACAAGGAAAAGAAAATGACGAATCGAAAGAAAGAAAGAAAGAAGAGCGGAGATAAGAAAGAAAGAATGAATGAATGAAATGTGGAATGAAAGAAGGAAAAGAAAAGAGAGAGACGAAAGAAGGAAGTAAGAGCGGAGATGAGAAAGAAAGAAAGAAAGAAAGAAAGAAAGGAAGGAAGAAAGAAAGGAAGGAAGAAAGAAAGAAGTGTGGAATGAAACAAGGAAAAGAAAATGACGAATTGAAAGAAATAAATAAGAACGGAGATGAGAAAGAAAGAAAGAAAGAAAGAAAGAAAGAAAGAAAGAAAAAGTAGCTCTTAGTAAATTTTGACTTTTTTTTTATATCTCTCCTAAACCCTGTTTCGCCATCCATTTATTCCAGCTCGCTAGGTAAGTTATGCGCTGTTTTTCTCTGCCCTCTACCCTGTGAGTATCAAATTTTCTAAGCCCTTTTTTCTCATTAAGTGCCGCATATCTTTCTGCTGTTAAGTATAAGTGTCCCTTTTGCTTCCATTTTCTCTAAAACTTCGTCGTTTCTCACATGTTCAATCCATGGTATTCTCAGCATCCTTCTGCAAAACCACATTTCTGTTGCCCCAAGTCTTTTTTTTCATCTTTAATAAGATTGTCTAGTATTCATTGCCATATAGGAGGGCTAATATTACATAACAGCTCAGTACGCTTTTCTTTGTCTCTATCGAAATTATTCCCGTTTCTTAATACTTTACTTAGCTTTTGAAAGACATATTTCCGTTTCTATTATTATTATTCGATATATTATATGTGTGGCAATAAAATAAGCATCCCATCTCCCCTCTCGCTTGTAACAATCCATCACAATAAAATAAACTTTTTTCAGCACTAAAGCAGAATGAGTCAAATAAAGATTCATAATCTTCTAGTTATTCTATTACAGCGATAATATAAATGAAAAACAAAGAAAAATATAAATTGACACTTATTCAAAAAAGAACTGGAAATGAAAAAATATATATCGAAAAAGTAAAATAAAAGAGAAACAGAAAAACTGAAAAAGAATCATATTTACTGAACGAAGTTCAACTTAGCACATTGTCTTTCATTGTGTACTCCAGGACTCCGACTAACTCGCAAGCAATGGCTGACTACAGAAGCATTTTGAAACAGACATTGAGAAAATAATAATTAGCTTTAGAGTTATTTATCAAAGTTTAGCCTCTTTGGCTTATGGCTAGATATAATGGCGCCCTCAATGAAGGTACAAACTTGCAAGCAATGGCTTCAGAAGCTTGAATTTTATTGAAGTTATATATTAAGTATTAAACTGCGGTAAACGGTTGCACAAACATGAACATCCGTCCACGACAAGCGGATATAAAATGAGTGAATTCATTTTTAACGAATAATTATATGCTTTAATTATATACAAACAATTATATACAATATACAATAATTATATGCTTTAATTATATACAAACAATTATATACAATATACAATATAAAATATACAATAATTATATGCTTTAATTATATACAAACAATTATATACAATATACAATATAAAATATACAATAATTATATGCTTTAATTATATACAAACAATTATATACAATATACAATAATTATATGCTTTAATTATATACAAACAATTATATACAATATACAATATAAAATATACAATAATTATGTGCTTTAATTATATACAAACAATTATATACAATATACAATAATTATATGCTTTAATTATATACAAACAATTATATACAATATACAATATAAAATATACAATAATTATATCCTTTAATTATATACAAACAATTATATACAATATACAATATAAAATATACAATAATTATATGCTTTAATTATATACAAACAATTATATACAATATACAATAATTATATGCTTTAATTATATACAAACAATTATATACAATATACAATATAAAATATACAATAATTATATCCTTTAATTATATACAAACAATTATATACAATATACAATATAAAATATACAATAATTATATGCTTTAATTATATACAAACAATTATATACAATATACAATATAAAATATACAATAATTATATGCTTTAATTATATACAAACAATTATATACAATATACAATAATTATATGCTTTAATTATATACAAACAATTATATACAATATACAATATAAAATATACAATAATTATATACAAACAATTATATACAAACAATTATATACAATATACAATAATTATATGCTTTAATTATATACAAACAATTATATACAATATACAATATAAAATATACAATAATTATATCCTTTAATTATATACAAACAATTATATATAATATACAATATACAATAATTATATGCTTTAATTATATACAAACAATTATATACAATATACAATAATTATATGCTTTAATTATATACAAACAATTATATACAATATACAATAATTATATGCTTTAATTATATACAAACACTGAGTAATTTTCAAGAATTAATGGATTTATTTTAAATCCGACATTTTTATTACTCCAAACGTTATTGTAGTGGATTCCTAATATTTGTAACAGACCTCTGATTTTAATTTATTAAGCAGTGCGTATAAAAATGAGGCGTCTATTTCAAATACGAAGTATCTACTATAATAATTTTTGAAGTAATAAAAAATTTACGATTAAAAATAAATCCATTAACTATTTAGAAATTGTTTTGGATACGAAATTGATCAAATATGAAACTTTCAAGAAAATAATCAAACAATTGCCTACAAAATAGAAAATTATATGCTTTAATTTCTTCGTGGTCGAGCGCTAAAGCACACTAAATCTAACGACGATTTCCCCTAAAAACGGGGCCGCAACTTCTTTCCCTCCCGGGGAAAGCAATTTTTATTACTAAGATTTCTCAAATCCACAGGCCGTTAGACGTAATATTCACTGTTTAATAAATCAAAATGGGGCGTCTATTTCAAATACGAACTATCTACAAAAATACAAAGACTATAAAATTCATATTTTAATTCTTTTACGTTATAAAAACAAAAGGAAAGTAATCAAATACCATATTCTTAAATGTAATGTTTTTAAAAGTATAAGAGGTTAATTTGAAAATAATCTGAGTGAATCAGTTCCTTAAAAATTTCCAAATATTTATATTTGCTGTAATTGTTCCATTCGAATCTGGCTTGATAAAGTTGATAAAATCTAACCGTTTTCCTTATCGACAGTGAAATTTGGGATTCAATCGCGTCCTTGGGAGTCGCCATTACTTTGTTTGAATACATACTCTCAAAGCTAAAGGCGGAAGACTACGGAAAGCTAATATTCAACTGATCTTTCTTGTCTAAATATGGGGCGTCTTACTTCACACAAGAACTATTTACGTAAATACTCAGACTATAAAATTATACCTGCATTCTTTTACGTTATTCTGCAAAAGGAAAGCAAACAAATGCCATATTCTTAAATGAATCCGAAATTTTAAAAGATAACTCCAAAGGTTAATTTTATCAAATTTAACAAACCAGATTCAAATTCGTATGTAAAATTGCACATTCCAGAATATTTATAATTTTTAATGTAATTGAGCGCATTGCAAATTAACTGTATAATGGTCTGTAAAGCATTCTCTGGAGTTGTGTTTAGTCTGCAAAAATTGTCACCATTTTTCACCTCTTTTCTCTTCGAGAAATATCCATGCAGACATAGCACTGACTTTGGATTGTTTTTCCAGTTTGATTTGCAGGCAAATACTCCAGGAAATGAAATAAAACCCCAAGAATCCTAAGAAACAGTGATATCATGAATTAGATTTGTTCATTAACCAAACTCGAATTATAAATTAATGATACCTGTATCGTTAGAAAAAGTTTAAACTATCAATTAATGATATCCGCTGATCGCCAATGAAACAGCGATTAATGATACTCGCCATTTAAAGCTTAATCAAATAAAAAGGCGTATAATCATTTGTAAACCTAAGCCAAGATTCATTGAACACTCTATAAGAGGCGTGCTTACAAACAATGGCTTGTGATACGTTCTGTGTCAACTGTTCAGTTTCTAGAAAACTTCATTAAAAGTAGCCCTAGCCCGATAATCTGATTAAAGCAGACGACTAGCCCAGACACTGACGTTATATCTCTAAGCAGGACCATCTTTGATAACTTATCCATAAAATTAAAATTCTTAAGCAATAATGGAAATGAATGTAAGAAATATTTTAGTCTGTACATACAATAGCAAACACATCGATAGGCATAAGCACATGGCATTTACGTCACCATACCCAGACGCAAGATAATATATCCACATACACACGAGCAAAGAAGCTGCGACAGATTTGCACACACGCACACATAAAGACTATCGCGCGGGCATTAGAGAGAAGCTATTACTTCTGGTCCGTTGTAGGTGTTTCTGTGGCACCATTTCCATTGGCCTGTTAATAATACCGATTAGACGCCACCGTGGAGACCCGCGTTCGTATCGCCGCCATAAAACAGTTTCCGGCAATATTCAACCGCTCAAAGCGCTCTCTATTGATTGAAGGTAGTAAAGCTATCAGCAATGTAATTTGCAAAAGAAACAGACAAGAAGAACGCAACCTGAGTAGAAATTCGCAAAGATATTAGGCTATCAGCTCTTTTGACGACCGACAGCAGATAACGACTATGACCCCAATCTCTCTTTCTATCTTTGCTTTCTCTGTCTTAACCCCCTCTCTCTCTGTTCCTATCTCTCTGTTTGCCCCATCTCCCTTTATATATGTACTCTCTCTCTCTCTCTCTATATATATATATATATGTGTGTGTGTGTATATATATATGTGTGTGTGTGTGCGCGTGTGTGTGTGTGTACTCTCGTAGTTTTTCTATGTTGTTATTTTTATCTCATTCTTTGTCTTTTATCTTTTCTTTTCTTTTCTTTCTTTCTTTCTCCCAGTTTTCTTCTTTTTCTTTCTTTCATCTATTTTTCAATCTGTTCTTTCTTTCTCTCTTCCATTTTGTTCATTTCTCTTCCTTTTTCTCTACATCAATAAATTTTTTTTTCAGCCTTTCCCGCAAACACAACACGGACAAGATTCAATCTTCGAGCCTAGCAATCGCATTTTCATTCACTCTCCTTCCTCTCCATCCATTTCAATTTTTCTCTCCTTTTCTGTCTCTCCCCTTCACCCACATCTCTCTCTCTCTCTCTCTCTCTCTCTCTCTCTCTCTATATATATATATATATATATATATATATATATATATATATATATATATATATCTTCTTCTGCTACTTCTCAGGTTGATGCACAATTTTTAATTATTTTACTATTTTTCTCATTCTTTTTATTGAACATCCTCTTGTTAAAGTTTATCTCAGAATTTCTTTCACGTTTCTCCCATTTCTCTATTTAGAAATGTTGACTTTACGTATATATATATATATATATATATATATATATATATATATATATATATATATATATATATATATATATATATATATATGTACATTTTAATTGAAGTCAACACCCATAGGCAATCGTCAGGCCATTGCGTTTAGCATAAAACAGACTGTGGCCTCTGGCCGTTGATTTCAATGTCCACTTTTACATTTACATACGCTCTATCTATACCTTATATTGAGCACATTAACCCATAAATATACCATACATTAAAACAATATTTTATCGTATATATATATATATATATATATATATATATATATATATATATATATATATAGATAGATAGATAGATAGATATATATATATATCCCACTCTCTCACTGCTTTAAATTTTTCTACCTTTAATACTCTCGTCAGTCAGACCTTTTGTAGTCTCTCTCTATATCTATCTATCTATCTATCTATCTATCTATCTATCTATCCCTCACATGGGTATCTCAGAGCTTCTTCCTCTAACCAATAACTTCTTTTACTCTCTTTCTGTTTGTCCTTTTTCTCATTTTACCTAACTCTTCCTCCCTCTCTCTCTCTCTCTCTCTCTTTCACTCTCTCTCTATCTATCTATTTATCTATCTATCTGTTTCTCTCCCTTTCACCCTTTTCCATTATTTTACTCTCAATTGTCTTAGCAATTGTTTCGTTCGTTTACAGATTAAGTCATATTTTGGGCTTTTATTTGCTCTCTTGTCTTCTCGCATTAATTTCTCCTCTCTAAAGATTCGTCTATTCTTACCTCTCCTATTATTCGCTTCTCCCTGTTTTATTTATTTCTAACTCTCTCCCTGTCTCCCTAAAATCTGCCCTTTTTTTCTCTGTTGTTCTCCATCTTCCATTTAATTCTCGCTTTCCTTCATTGTTTTATGTATCTACGTGTCAATCTATATTTCTGAACAAAACATTCTGCTCTCAATGAAAACCGGAGCTGGTGGCAGCGAACGGAGCAAGAGTGATTATGCTGACAATCAAACCTATTATGCCTCTTGAAATATAGCTGATCTTATTTGCTGGCGAAAGATTTACATCGACACTAATCAGAAAGTAAGTAGAAAAAGCGCAAAAGAAGTCAAGCAATGCATCACGAATGAACCGTTCCAAGAGAGGACACGGGGATGCTAGAAAAAGTTGAAGCGAAAAAAAAAAACACGAAAAGAAACAATATTCCATTCACTGGAGAAAAGCGTTCGGCAATCACAACTACATACTCCCCCATCTCCCTCTCTCTCTCCTTCATGTATATATATATATATATATATATATATATATATATTTATCAATCAATATATACTGAAAAATTATATATATATATATATATATATATAAAAAGGCTTAAACACTAATATTCCATGTTCATAATTTATTCAATTGGAATCGAAATTTGTAGGTCTGATGAATTGATCGTATTTTACGATTCAAATGGAATAAATTATAACCATGGAATATTAGTGTTTAAGCCTTTTTTTATTATTATATCCTTACTCTGTCCTGGACATTGAGTTCTACCTGGATTTTATCCTCTTGGAATTTTCTTTTTTTTATGCAAAATATATATGTATGTGTATGCATGTATGTTATATATATTTATATATTTTGTATATGTATGTGTATATTTATATATATATATATATATATATATATATATATATATATATATAGTTTATCAGTCCATAACTCTTCCGTTCCTTCCCTTTGTCGGGTGGATATAGGCTTATAGATAATAACAAACACCTTTGAGCAAAAGAAAAGCAGTTTCGTATAAAGCTAAAAAATTCAAAGACAAGCAAGATGTGTAAATATATGTTGTAATGTTCGAGGGCGTACTTTCTTTGTTTCGTTTATTATAATGCAATTTATAACGATTTGCATCTGACTGGAGAAAATTCAAGTCGCCTGATTCAGTCCATTTCTCAAAGCTCCCGGCAGTTTCGAGAGATTATGGCGAGTTGTTAGTTTATCCCTTTCGCAGACGCTAGCTCGGGTACATTTTGTGTTTCTTCAACACCCACAAAGCCAACGCCTGGTTTATCCTGAAACTTTGCTGAGCCGACTTCAGTTACAGTTTTTTTTCTGGGAAATAGCACATAATCTGACGGGAACTTTGTGCTCTTCTGATCTTGTTCAAAACCCTCAGTCACAATGACTTGTTACCTCATCGACGGCTTCCAAACAGTTTTCTATACCCAATGTAACTCACATGGTATGGGTCAGCTATGAACTTTTTTTTTTTTTTCAAGCACTCCCCAACTGTACTGCACGCTGGGATCGTCTCCCCAGGCCGATATTACCAAGACGTCACTTCTTTGACAAATGAGATGCGTGTCTCATGGTTGAAAACGCTATCGTTCTAACCACTCAGCCACGACCCAACTCTCACGTTTTTATGCCAACATTCATTAATTTATACTTGAATGTTAACGTATACTTAAATATATACAAAGTCATTCGAAAAGTTGGAAAAATCTAACTTTGAAAAAAAAAAATGACATAGCTATTTTCCACTGTCTCCTTCGAAGTACTTTTCTTAGGCATCGAAATCTCATTAATTGACAGTTGGGCTGGCTTGATGCAGCCGTAACTTCTATGCTAACAGTTTCTTTTCTCGCACTTCTTGCTTGTGGAACTCCCCTTCCGCCTCCATGGTTTCCAGCCAAATTTAATCTACAAAAATTTAAATGCAGTGTCAATCGCTATCTACTGTCCTCCTGATTACTGTTTTCTCTTTCCACTCATTATTAATGTTTCTGTTTTTAATTCTTCCACACCTATTAATCCCTTCCGTTTCAGTGGTTTCACTGCCTTGCATGGGGTTATACCGATAAGAAGAAAAAAAGAAAGAAAAAAAAAACTGGTGTAATAGTTAGCGGCTCAGAATAAGACATCAGAGGACTGAGTTCGATATTCCGATGGGCTCGTTACATCCACTTAAGCGCAAATACACTTGTGAAAGGTATGAATCGATTTCCTCTCCGCCAGCTATGGGTTAAATAATAGGACATATTTCTGGGAAAATATCCCTATTCTCAAAAAATTGTTAATCAAAAAAATATGTTTCAGCTTTAAATAATCCACAAAAGGTTGATAAGACGTAAGAAACTATTCACTACAAACATCACTAATACGTATCTATTAATTATTTATTTTGTCTTCGAATATAGATTAAAAGATTACCACATACGACCTCCACCTGGATGTGACATCAACCCAAAGGAAAACCGTACCAGCGAAAAAGCATATGACCGCTAAAATAATAACATTTTATCATTCTCCGAATTTGTTTGGGCTCCGATAACTGTTAATTTTCATGTCTCTAATGTTAATGAGGAAAATATTTATTATAAATATTATTATTACTGTTATTTTTCTATTATCATTATTGCAATATTCTAAAGTTATTACATTATTATATAATTATGCAGTAATTATATTATTAGTAGTATATTACGTTATTATAATGTTATTATAGTATTATGTGCTGTTATTTTCCTTATTGTTATATCATTATTATATAAATTTTGTTATATTATTGTTGTAATTTTTTATATTATTATGCCATTATGATTATTATATTAGTTAATTATTATGTCATTATATTATTTTTGTTATTGTTTTATTATCATAATTGAATTATATTTTAATGATATTATATTATGCTGTTGTAGTACTATTATTATATTACGTTATTATTATTATGTTGTTATTAATATACTATTATACTGCATTGTTATTATTATGTCTATATTTCTGAGATGAGGTATTATGTACATTATTTACACTATTGTCCTCATCTTTGTCGCCATATTTATTACAACGTTTCGGCCGTTGTACGCTCCGGCTTTCTTCAGTTGGTTGGAATGTCGAAATTAATCTTTTATTTCGCTCACTGGGGTAGCCTATTCTAGTTCCACGTGCCATGTTTAATGGATGTCAGTTATCAGTTATCTCCTGTTAATTTTCCCTCTGAAAGTTCTCCACTGCCTTAACCGGGTATTGAACTCACACTCTTTGGGTCCTGTCACTGGATCTAACCAACGCCTTTATCCACT